ATATGAGAGTTCAGTTCGACATAGTAATTAAATAAAATTCAATTAAACTTGAAAATAATTTCATAATCAATATGAACGATGAAAAGTAAAAACAAGAATTAGAGTTTTGAGATAAAAACTAATCAACAAATAAGAGTGGACGGCTTCCTTGGTTCTTTACACAAACTTGAGCACTTGAAATTTTAAAGAAAGGGAAAACTATGTAGAAAATAATATAATAATCGATGAAATGTATAATGAATCACCCCCCCCCCCCCCCCCTAAACTAGCTAGTCTCTCTCTTTATATAGACTTTCCCCCCCCCCCCGCCCCGACTATGGCTAGTCTCTCTTTTTATATAGATTTTTTGGAATATCTTCGTATTCGTTTAGGAAATTGAATCTCTATTGAGGAAAAAATTTTTTGAAGATAGGAAACTGTTTAGGTTTTGTATTTCTTTTCAATTATGACTCTCTCAACGTCTAGATAGGATTTAAGATTGGTTATGCACATCCCATAAGATTCTCATGCAAATTCATACAGGCAGCACAGACTAAAGCTGAAATTTTCAGCCCAAGTTGAATTCTGCAGATTAGCACGGGGGTGCTAATTAGCACGCCCAATCTAACCCTCATTTGATTTTGCCTTGAAAATCGCAGGGGGGTGCTGGGTAGTCTTGGACAAATGATTGCTTTTACTCCTCCTTTACATTTTTGGCTGATTTCTTATAAAAATCCTGCTAAATTCCTCAAGATTAAGTGAAATATGATTTAAGAAAGTTTTAAACAAAAATATAATAAAACTAAATGAAAACTAATTAAAATAATTAAAAATACGAAAAATTCTAATAAAAACTATATTAAAAATACTATAAAAATAACACCTATCAATATATAAGATATAGTTAATTTAGAAAACTAAATCCATTAATTCTTAATTAACTTTTTTTTTTGAAAGTGATTAATTTTTTCTAAGTTGAATAAAATGGACTTGGGATATTAATGATTGTAACTAAATACAGTTGTTCTAAAATTAAAACCACTAATTAACTGTTATTTATATATATATCTGATAATAGATTCATGTTCGAATTTTTCTCCTAATGCTCAATAAGAAAACCCATAAACCAAAAATATTTCTTGAAAAATATATTTTTTTTAGTTTAAGATATTTTTATTGATTAGTAAAAATAGAAAACGTATCTTTTTTTTTTTATGAGGAATAAATATAAAAAGAAAAGATATGGAATTAAAATAAAAAATTGAATTCAAAATAGGATTAAAAATTTTGTAATGAATCAATGGGAAAACCTTTTTTTTTTTTCTTTTAAGTATTGAGAGAAAAGGAGATTTGGACTTAAATCTATAGCTGTGACTAGTGGTATGCAAAAAGAAAAAAAAACTGGATTTCACAATGCTAAAAATATAAGAAAATCAAAATTGGATTCACAACCAAGTAGTATTAAAATTAAAGACAACTATAAATCAGCTTTGTCTCCGAAGCTAAATAAAGATTAAATAAAAATAAGCAAGCTAATGGCAAATAAATTAGAGATGGTACTTTAGTCCGACCCGATTGATATCCACTTCGATCTGACTCTAATGTGGTAGATTTTTACCTGTTTCGTTTAATAAATGGAGTGAGGTGGGGATATTAAAAATTATACCCACTATAGATAATACATAACCCACCTTGAATCCTATCCGTTTAAATTTTTATTTACTTGGACTTTTATTTAAAAATTTACATACAAATCAAAATTTTAATTCATTAAATGGTGTCAAAGTTCAAACATTAAATAAATAAAACTTCAAAGGAATTCTCTTTGAGACTTGGTTATTTTACGGTTGTAGATTTTTTTTCACTGTTAGCCATAAAATTGTATGTAACATATCAGATAATCATCCTTCCAATTTATTTTCTATTTTTCTATTTTTATATTTTTCTATTTGTTTGGTTTTTCTTTAATATCTATTTTTTTTTATTTTTGCTATTTGATTTATTATTGATATGCTGAACGATTAATTTTTGACTTTTTTCTTTTATTTATTATGTTGAAATGGAACTACAAACTTGTCTTATTGTCATTATGATTATCATGCACATGCATATTCAACTATATAGTTTTGTTTTCGTTTTATTTACTTTAATTATTTTATCATATTTATTTATATATTTTTAAAAGTAGATAAATATATAATATTGAATAACATTTATTACAATCGCAATAAAAATATATATAAATGCAAATTAAATGGATTTGATAATAAAAACTTAGAAATGGAAATTTAAATTTTTAAATAGATTTACCTGATCCGATCAATGTGCGCCCCAACCCGATCTGTAGTGGGGTGAATGGTGGGGCAGGTAATTCATATTACTTCATGGGATACAATTAGGCGTGGCCACGGTTCCGGAACCAGCGGTTCCGGTTCTAAAAAAACTAGAATCGGAATCGAACCGAACCAAAAATTTTCTGTTCCGGTTCCGGTAAGTTGTCAAAACCGACGGTTCCGATCGGTTTTCCGACCGATTTTCCGGCAAATTGCATAATTTTAAATTTTAAATTTTGAAGACCAGTTTTCAAAATTTAATAAATTTGTGAAAGTTATTTGTAAAAAACATACACCTAAAAAATTAAAAAATGGTTCAATTAAATTTATTTTTTTAAAGACTTGAACTTCATTATTTTTTTAAAAAAAATTCTTCAACTGAATTTATTTTTTGTTTAAAAAAGTTTGAGATTTCACAACAAAATTAAAATAAAAAACACAAAACTGACAGTTTGTAACGGCTAGAACTGCCGGTTCGAAACGGTGGTTCTAACCGGCCGGAGAACCGGCGGTTCCAATCCGGTTTTGTGGAATCGCCGAGTTTGCGGTTCCACAAATCTGGAGCTGGAATCGAACTGAAAATTTCTGGTTCTGGTTTCGGTTCGGATCGGTTTAGGTTCCCACCGGTTTCGGTTACGGTCAAAACCGGTTCAAACCAACAGTTCCGGTTCCCGAAACCGTAATATGGCGCACAATGCAATATTTGATACATAAATGACCCATTGTCATCCCCAAGAGGAATTAGTAGCGTTTGAAGAGGGTACAATAGGCATTCCTCTAAATTGTTTCTAATACATCCCCAAGAGGAATTAGTAAGCGTTTTAAGAGGGTTACAATAGGCATTCCTCCTAAAATTGTTTCTAATTACATATTAATATATATATATATATATATATATATATATATATATATATATATATATATATATATAATTATATATTATATCCGTTTGGGTGTATTTATTCACTTGGTAACAATATAAAAATTAATATTTTAATTTAAAAATTCATAAATATTATTTATAAATTTGATAATTAAAACAAAAATATTATAAACGAACTTAGAAATTTTTTATTTTAAAATTTTTTTAAAATTTATTATCGATTATTTTATAATAATAATAATAATAATAATAATAATAATATCAATTTTTGTTATTTTATAAAATTTTTTTAAAAATAAATTATATAATATATAATATATCTGTAATAATAAAATTACATATATATTAAAGCATAATATAATTTTTTATGTTATTTAAATATTTTTATTTATTCAATAAAAATTTGTATAGAAAAAATTATTTATAGATATTATAATGTCAATTATGAAAATGTCATTTTGTAAAATGGAAAACATGATTTTTATTATAAAGGAAAACTGCAGAAAACAACTTAAAACTGTTTTCTAAACCTTAGTTAAATTTTGGAAAATTGAAAAACTGTTTTTTAATTTTTCAAATAGAAAATTGACTGATTTGAACACAAAACTATATTTTTCAGTTTTCTTGAAAAATTTTTCTAGAAAATTAATTCAATTCTCTACAAGTGAACACACCCTTAGCTATTACATTTCTAAATAAATGGCAATATCATTAAAAATAGAGTCCAGTATTTTTCAACATGGAAATCCAAAATATTTAAAATACCATTTATATCAAATATCAGACAGGAAAAAGAAATAACTTTTACAGCTCAATTGGTCTAAAGGATACTGTTTATGTTTACTTAACAATTAACAAAAAAAAAAAAAAAAAAAAAAAAGTAGTTTGATTGTTTTTCCACACTTTTAAGGTGGTATAGATTTCATGTACCACTGTTTTAAACAATACTAAAAAAAAAAAAAAAAAAAAAAAAAAAAGGTAGTTTGATTGTTTTTTCCACACTAAGGTGGTATAGATTTCATGTACACTGTTTTAAATCTAATACTATATCCGATCAAAGATAAACTTCCAAGTTGGAATTAATTAAAAGAATCACAAAACATAAACCTAGCCAATCAAATAGAGAACAAATTATTTATAAGGTATTAAAGAATTCTATAAAATTTATATAAAAGAAAATATTCATTTCATTCATTAATTTGATTTTACATGCAATTCAACATAATTTACTAAATTTTATTATTTATAAATAAATCTTATATTTCAAGTTCATTTACATTAAATTAGGAATTATAATTTTTTTTCTCATTACAGAAAATGTTCCTTTCTGATTCACATGGAAGTATTTATTAATATGATTAATACATATGTGCCAGCAATCATTGCCTTAAGGGGAACTGCATTCGATTAATCCAACGAGATCAAATTTAAAATTTTTTCTATGTAATTGAATTTTTTAGCATCATTATTAAACGAGCAGAACAAAATTTATTAGATAAATTAATTAAAATATATTTTGGTTAATTATTTAGTTAGTTTGGTTATAATTGAATATATTTACTTTACAAATTATATATAATTATTCATAATGATGATGATTTTATTTTCATTATTATCATATTATTGGTCAGATTCTTTTATGAAACCTTAATGATTATAACCATGGAGTGTCCTGTGAGTTCTCGGTTAAAAATGGCAAGTACCTACCATTTGCGTATGTCTTTTCTGTTTGTGGAGGAAAATAGTTGAGAAAAGAAAATAAAGAGGAGAAAGAAAGCTATATCATTGTTTGGAAGAGAGGAAAATAGTATCAAATGGAAAGAGATTAAATTATTTTTTTGTTCCAGAAACTGAGCATATAAAATGACAGACAAGAAATTTATGCAGTGTAAATATACAATCTTGGGAAAATTTTTTTTGAAAAAAAAATACTGAATGGCTACCCTTAAAATGTTTTACTTAGTGTTACTACATGTATAGAAAATTTCTACATTACCCAATTAAATTAAAAAGAAAAAAAAAAGAAGAAATGTTTTGCCAATTGTCCAATCCTCTTTGCTTATAGTGCTTCAAAAGCTCCTACTAAGGCAAAAATCTCATAGTCTTGACACTTGCACCCACTGTCTTTACAGCACCCGCACCCATCGCTTAACCTCCCATTTCTCTTCTTCTTCTTCTTCTTCTTCTGCTCTTTTATCACCATTTCTGCACCTCTAACTCTCATTGCTATTTTGACTGAAGGTGGCTTAACATCATCATCAAGAACTGCACAACTCTTATTCTCTGAGAGCATCATAACCCACTTTTCCATTTCCATTTTTGGCGATTCAAAAATCGTGTCCATTGGAATTTGAGCTCTACCCAGAAGTTTTGACCCTCCATTAATTTTACCGAGAAATGAGTTAGTAGTATTTCTCCACCGTAGCTCGAAAACAACACTTTCTTTCTTTAAGCTGTTAATGGAATCTTCAGTGCCTAAACACTCTAATGAGAAAGACTCATTCCAGAAAAGATTGGATTTGGAGGAGATTTCATTGGTTTGTAATTTGATTCTTTTGTTGTTTCCAGAAGAGAGATAGTATCTAACAAAAAGGTGACCATGGGACTTCAATTCTAAGTTTTTAGCTTGTAATACTTCTATCTCAAAGCTAAAAGAGGAGGGAGATTGAGAAGCAAGACCCATAATTTTGAAAAGATAGTTTTATGTGTGTTTGGATTTGTTTTGTTGGTGAAGAGAAGCTGCGAATATATAGGCATATATATATAGTGGAGGGAAGGTGGGGTTTGCTTTTGAGGAAGCTTCTTTTATAGTTTAATATGGTTGTAAGTTCTATCTAAGAGTCACCCACCAAGTCTTTCTTGTAGTTGAAATAATACAAGAAGATGATTTAATATTGGTATGAAATAAAAGTGAGTCATCACATTAGATTGTGAGAAAGATTTTATTGGATTATATATAATTAGCCCTTGCAAATCATGAAAGGCTGGATATATACAAATGGCTTATAATTAATATGACCCTTGCATGGCTATTGCTCTTAGATTTCTAGCTAGATTCTTGTGGAATATTTTTAGATTCTGCTCCTTTTATGTATATACACATGGCTTTGTTTATAGTAATAACAAGAGTGGGTATGGGGTGTGAAACAAAACTAGTCAAAAAGCAAATTTTGTTTATTTTAATTGATGGTTGATCTTAATCAAATCAAAATAAAGTGAAATGTTTAAAAACGCAATTTTCCAAAATGGTGTTGAAAGAAAAAATATTTATGTAAATGGTGTTATTCTGAAAATATTTATAGATGTGATATTATTTTGACTTTTTAAAGGCATTTATTACAATATGACAGTAACAAAAGCAATTGATTTAAATTTTTAATATTGGGAACAATTTTTTCTTGACTCTCTGTTTACGCTTATAATATAATAAATGTTATGCTTATAATATAATAATACCCGTACACATATTTTAAAGATACATTCACAAATTTTAAAGACAAAGATACATGTTTGACACAAATTGACATTGTTATACTTACAGTGTAATAATTTACAAAGATTCAGATCGAAGGTAACAGTAAAATGTATTTATATTATTGTTACGCAATGAGTATATATGTAACAATCTATTTTTTATAATTTACAAAAATATAATAAATATTTTTAGAATATCACCATTTACTTAAATATGTGTTATTTCAGCACCATTCTGAAAAATTGTCCCATTTTTTTTTTTTTTGAAAACTAAAAATTGCCCTAATTATGTATATCTAGAAATTGATCAATTTATAAATCAATTTGCATTAATAAGAAATTTGGTTAGCTAATAAAAATCTCATATTCCAATTGGTTGAATTAATCAATGTGTGCACACCCCACTAGAGGAGAATCCAAACTATAATTTTAAGTGAGTTAGTGGGTGCAAGCTTTCTTTATATGTATAATACACATCCGCCCCAGCAAGTATAGAAATGTATAATAAGATTTATCCAAAAGGAGTAATATTAATTATATGAATCTTGTCAGCAGAGATTATTTTCTTTAAAAAAAAAAAAAAGCAATTTAAATAACAAGTAAAAGATTCATGAGCTTTCCGAATTATTGGACATTGCAACTCAAACTCGTCAAAAATATTGTATTGTATGAGTTGGAGATCTTCTAAGGATACCACTTTTATGTTTTATTTTGTGGTTTAAGTTTTGATTGGAAAAGAAGAGTATGTTGTTTATGGTTGATTAACAAACGTTTGCAGGAAAATGATAATGCTTCATGTGCTTATCCATAGGAAATCCAATCGACATATTATGTGGTTAAAAGATTTCTCTTTTTTTTTATTTCCTTATAGGATTAATCTAATAGTTAATAGCGGGTATTGATACTTGATAATTGGCGCTGGTAGCATATGGCTAATAATTATTAGTGGTTGTTGTTAAAAAGGAAATTGAGCATTAAAGGTGATATTATTTAGTGGGGGCGGAAATACACTATATCTAGTGTAGGCATGTGCCCACCCTCGTTATAATGTTTAAAGAAAAATTTTTATAATTTCAAAAAAGAACCATACTAAGATGTTAGTATTTTAAAATATATAAAACGTAAATTAACAGTTGCATTCTGTAGTATTAATCAAGCGGAAGAGAATAAGCATAGTTACTATGTCAATATAGATTATAAAATGAAAACTTTCAGAGCACAACACAATTAGCAATTGCATTTTGTACTATTAATCAATAAACACCACCCCTCAGGCAAACAACACTAGAAGCTTAAACATTTTAAAGCTAAGTGTGAATAAACTGGCCAAAAAAAAAAAAATCATAGGACACCGGTTGAAGTTACTGGGAGATTGATTGTGTTATAAACGAGCTAAGTCAAATAGAATCAATCTAAGCTATATTGAACTCGAACTTGACTCATTAAAAATATACTCTAATTTGAGTTTTGACCGGTATATATTTTATAAGTTTCAAAAAGAAAAAAAGTAGTAAATGTATAGGCTTGAACTTAACAAACTTCCAATCACATTAACCGTCAACAACCCAACCATTCACTCCTAACACATTAACCATTACACAACCACCATTATATTACCCACCATTATACTACCCACCATAGACACAAATTAACAGTTGACAATAGCTTCCTTATCAACTAAACCCAAAAAGCGGCCAAAAACACATAGCTATCCATCTAACCCATATTGCAAAGCACAATCCGAAAATCACAAAAGAAGCCAAAAACACCCAGCTAGCCATCTAACCTATCTTGCAAAGCACAAACAGAATAAGGATGAAATTCACTACAGTGCATATCATGCATAAGCAAAGATAATCTTCGTCTAGCCAATGATAGAATCCAACCCATCGAACTTGCCCCGAATAGGCCTATTTTCATCATTTTGGCGCACAATAATATCTTCTAGGTCAAGTAGATCCCTTACAATGTGGTTCCTTAGCTTCATTTCAAAACTTTCAACCTCCATTGCATCTCTAGCCATTCTTGTCTCCCTAGTGCTCTCAATGCACGAATCAACTGTCTTGCACCACCTAAGAAAGCTGCCACACTCGTTATTCTTACAAAAATAATAGGGCCTCTTCTTGTTCTTGCTTGTCTCGGAAATTCTGATCCCAGCTCGCTTCAAGCTGCCACACTCGTTATTCTTACAAAAATAATAGGGCCTCTTCTTGTTCTTGCTTGTCTCGGAAATTCTGATCCCAGCTCGCTTCCTGCATTTGCAAAGAAAGTTCAGAAATCTGCCCTCATTTCTGCAGTCAGTTACGCTAGAGGATGAATTGCTCCTCCTTTCAGACATTGCAAAACCCTAATTCGGTTGCTTCTTCCTAATTTTTGCTCTTCGTTTCACTTATTTCACCGATTTAAAGACAGAACAGTTGTGTAAGGATATTTTCGTCATATATTTGCTTCTTTCTCTTTGGACTGTCAAGAATTTCATTGGCTTTCACTCCAAATCTGATAAAAATGGATGGAAGGTTAATATGGTATAGCGGATTAATAATAGGAGGATATAGTAGTTTAATTAAAAGAATACATGGATAGAGTAGTTCTTTTTGTCAAACATAGGGACACGATTATAATTTTACCTTTAAAAAATTAAAGTTATAGTATGTACATTTTTTTTAAATTACAAATATAAGCTTATCTTTAATGAATTTTATCCAAAATTTGCTATATATATTCCAAAATATATATTATACAAATCTATTATATATGCCTCTATCCCTCAACAAATAAATGAAAATTTTATTTATTGATCATTAAAGCAATGCCTAAAGCCTCAACAAACATTCCATATTTGATCTTTTAATTCATGTAATTACAAATTAGCAAATGCATGAAAACTTAAATATCTAGAATTATATATAATTTAGTACCTTTTCTTAACAATAATATATAGTTTAGTAAAAGAAAAAACATTTCGTTTCATTGACATTGATGTAGTTGAGGTACAAATGACTAGAGGAGAGTAAAATATCCCACCGTACCGAACTGGAAATCGAACCGACACTTTTCAGTTTGATCAGTTCAGTTAGTGGGTTTGACCTGTTCGGTTTAGTATATATTAAATAATGCTTTTCAATTCTCAGTTCACGGTTCGGTAAGAGTGACTAATAACCGAATGAACGACAACTTAAAAAAAGTCAATATGGAACCCTAAAACTGATTCTCTCTCCCACCGACACTTTTCAGTTTGATCAGTTCAGTTAGTGGGTTTGACCTGTTCGGTTTAGTATATATTAAATAATGCTTTTCAATTCTCAGTTCACGGTTCGGTAAGAGTGACTAATAACCGAATGAACGACAACTTAAAAAAAGTCAATATGGAACCCTAAAACTGATTCTCTCTCCCTCTCGCTTTTCATCGCTCTTTTCTTTTCCTCCTCAAGCAGCACCTCAGCCTTCTTCATGCCACAAATGATAATAGACTACAACCATTCTCCCTCCCTAAGAAGAGTACAAGAAGATGACTTTTTCTCATTAAACAACTAATTAAAGCTTCTCTCACTGGCTCAATTCTTTGTGGTTTCTTGAACGAGGTAATTTCAAAACCAATCTATGATTTTTTGATAAATCAATCTATGTTTCTTCTTTGCATTAATTTATGTGTTTTTATTTTATTAATTTTATTTTGCAAATCTTAAATTTATTTCATTCCTATATCTTATAATAATTTTTTTTCTTACACGATTTACGAATATAGCTATTGATAATTGCATTTTTCTTGTTAATTAATATAGCTGGGTACTTTGGGTTGTTATCTTTAGTTCATAACAAGTAAAGTGGGAGATTCTTCATTATCGAATAATTGAGGTTGTTATTTACAAAATCAACTAATGAATTTTATAAATCTATGTTTTTTAATTCCAAGGATTTGACAAATTCCATAGACTTTAAAAATCTTCAATCCAAACGTTGCCTGGGAACTTCTTTTATCCTTTAACTTTCCCAGTTTGCTTTTCATTCTTGTCCCGTAGCATGAAATTGGTAGATGAATTATATTTTCCCACATGACATGATTGGGAACAATTGTGTTATCTGCAGTTTACTAAATACTAATATTATAGTTCTATGCCATAACTAAAATTTATTGTCAAGCTTTCAAGTTTATGTATTTTAATTACTATTATCATCATCATTTTTTGTCAATCAGCATACATTAGTCTGTGGTTGTTTGTTGGTTACATTATTTGTGTGAAATCTGAGATGGTTGCATTGCTTTCCATGTTCATTTTGCCATCATTCTCATTCTATATACTATATCTCAATATTATTATACATCTATATTTTTTTGAGAGACATTTTTTTTATTGGACAGTTTTTTATTTTTTATGAAATGTAAGTGCAACTACATATTCATCTACCCATTCCAAGCATTAATTGTGTGTGAAAGAGAACAATTTTTATTTCTATTTAATTCTTCATTATCAATCTAATGTAAATGAGTAATTTTTTATTTCTATTTAATTATTTAGATATTACAAAAATTACCAAGTAGTTGATTGAATAAACTTATTAATACTTACTTTTCCATGTACTTGATTGGCTCTATTCTCAACTATTAATTATAGACTATAGTTAAATTAAAAATTTATTAATTATAGACTATAGTTAAATTAAAAACGTTGACTTTGAAAATTAACTTTGCAACTTAAAAGCATGTATTTTGCTCTAAATACATCCTTTATGTATGTTCAACTCTAAATTTGTGAAATATTGATTTTATGACTAATTTTAACTTTATTGTCAAGATGTCTTCTCAAGATGAAACACCTAGTACATTGCATGTTGATGATGGAAGTTCGCAACCTCAAGATACAGCAGTAACAACTGCAAGAGGAAAGCGAAGAGCAATAGCTCCAAGATCGAATGTGTGAGATCACTTCTCTAAATTCAAAGATGTAAAAGGGGATGTTAAAGGCAAGTGCAACCATTGTGGTAAGGAATTTTATTGTGATTTTAGAAGAAATGGCACTATCGCACTTAAAAATTACATGAATGCATGCAAGAGAAATCCTTCTAGTGTAGAATCAAGACAAACACAATTGAATTTTCAACCGGTTAGCATTCTTAATACTTGGAAATTTGATCAAGAAGCAATAAGAAATGCCTTAATTTTTATGATCATTGTTGATGAATTGCCTTTTAAGTTTGTTGAACATGAGGGTTTTAGACAATTTATGTGTATATGTTGTCCTCAATTTTGGATTCCATCGAGATGGACAGTGCATGTGATTGCTTTTGATCTTTATGTAAATGAAAAAGCTCATTTGAGATCCATCTTGCAAAGCAAAAATCAAAGGTTTTGTCTTACCACTGATATTTGGACTTCTATACAAAAAATCAATTATATGTATACTGCCATTATTTTATTGATGACGATTGGTGTTGCATAAAAAAATTTTAAATTTCATACCAATTGTTAGTCTTAAGGGTAGGGAGATTGGTAGAGAGATTGAAAGATGCTTAATGGATTGGGGTATTGACAAATTAACCACCATTACTGTAGATAATGTAAGCTCAAATGATGTAGCTATTTCATATATGAAGGATAAAGTAATTAATTGGGGTTCAAGCATTTTAAATGGCAATTTGATCCACATGAGATGTGTTGCACACATCATAAATTTGATTGTTGTTGATGGCCTAAAGAATATTGGTGGTTCAGTTAAAATAATTAGAAAGGCAGTGCGTTATGTGCGATAATCTCCATTAAGATTGAGGATATTCAAAGAATGTGTAGAAATTGAAAAAATTGAAAGTAAATCTTTATTATGCCTAGATGTTCCTACAATGTGGAATTCAATCTACCTAATGTTACAAGCTGCTGAAAAATTTGAAAAAGTTTTTGAGAGATTTGAAGATCAAGATCCTTTTTTTAAAGTTAATCTAATTTGTGATGGGTTAAATGGGGTTCAAGAAAAAAAAAAGGAATATTGGGAAAATATTAGGAGGATGATGACTTTTTTACAAGATTTTTATAATCTTATTTTGAAAATTTCAAGATCTTTATATGTAACCTCTAATTTATTTTTCTATGAAATTTATTTGGTTTATCGTCTATTAAAGGAGCGGATATCTAGTTCTGATAAAGAAATGAGTAGTGTGACAATTAAAATGAAAGAAAAATTTGACAACTATTGGGGAGATCCAAAGAAAATGAATAAATTCATTTTCATTGCTCCAATTCTTGATCCGAGGTATAAATTAGATTGTGTGCAATTTTTTATTTGCAAAACGTACGAGGGAGAATCGGATGTAGAATTGGGGAAGGATGTGAAAGAGCTTTTGTATACTTTATTCAGTGAATATAAGAAAACACTTGCACTTGAAACTTCAAGCACCATTTGAGACAGTTGATAGCAATAATAAGATAGAAACAAGTGAAAGTCATCCATCTTTGAAAGTGAAAATGAGATTAGAATCTGAATATAAACAATTTATGATGAATTCTTTGGGAAGAAAAATGAATAGATCAGAAGTTGATAAGTATTTAAATGAAGAAATTAAAGTAAATTCAGAGGGGTTTGATATCTTAGTGTGGTGGAAGAATAACAGTGCTAGATTTCCTATACTTTCACAAGTAGCTTGTGATGTGCTTGCAATTCCTATTTCTACTGTTGCTTCTGAGTCTTCATTTAGTACTGGATGTCGAGTGCTAGATGCATTTCAAAGTTTCATTGACCCCAAAAATAGTTCAAGCATTGTTGTGCATCCAAGATTGGCTTCGAACATCAAATCGCTTATTTTTGTTGAAGAAGACTTAGATAATCTTGAAAAATTAGAGAAGGGTAAGGAATTTTCGAAATCGCCTATTTCTCTGTTGAAGAAGACTTAGATAATCTTGAAAAATTAGAGAAGGGTAAGGAATTTTTGTTGAAGAAGACTTAGATAATCTTGAAAAATTAGAGAAGGGTAAGGAATTTTCGAAATCGCCTATTTCTCTGTTGAAGAAGACTTAGATAATCTTGAAAAATTAGAGAAGGGTAAGGAATTTTCGAAATCGCCTATTTCTCTGTTGAAGAAGACTTAGATAATCTTGAAAAGTTAGAGAAGGGTAAGGAATTTTTGACTTGTTTGTTATTACTCTTGCACTTACATCTCACAGTTGTATTTATTAATATGTTATTGGCTCTTTTATAGATTTACAAGGCATTTGCATAAAAGCTGTAGTCGATTTATAAAATATTTTTTCAAGATCCTTGCTAATGTTATCAGGTATTATTTACTATTTATTCAACTCATTATAAATTAAAGGAATTCTTCTAGTTTATATAATTTAGGTTTCATTTCTGCAACTTCAAGTTTTTTTTTTTTTTCATTTATTCAGCCTCAAATTAATCTATTTTTTGTTTTATTTTTGCAACCTCAAGGTATTGTTGCAGGATTATCTTTGTTAATGTTTTCAGATATCAATTTGGATATTGAAGTTAGTTTTTATATTTTGATTTGGATGTTGAAGTTAGTATTTGGATAAGGATGTTGGAGTTAGTAAATGTATCTACTGTAGAATTATATTTGCATTAGAATGTTTGTAAAATTGTTAGAACTTCTTTTTGGATTTGGATGTTTGTAATTTTTTAGTGATACCATTTTATTTTGATTTCTTATGTTGTTTGTTTAGTGATACTATTTTATTTCTTTAGTTGTATTATTTTATTTTGATTGATTTGATATTTGTGAAACAGGTGCAGTATCTTCATTTACATTTGATTATTGGTTGTATCTATTTTCATCTTTTTAGTTGGTTCGGTTTAATCGGTTTATTTTGTTATTTCAGTCACTATGGTTCGGTTGAAATTGGTTCCAATTTAAGTTCGGTTCATTTCGGTTTTTGCAAACTTAAACTTCGGTCTAGTCGAATCAATTTAATGGGTTCATGTTGCAATTCGATTTAATTTGGTTCACTCAACTTCAAGTTCGGTTTAATCAGTCTGGTTGGTAAAACAGACCGAATCGACCGAATGCTCAGCTCTACAAATGATCATCTATATGGTGGTTTAATTATTAATATCTTTTTCTAGTATCGGTTTTGGTTATTTGGGCTTTCACCTTATTAACAATTCGAGTTTCTACATTCCCATGTAGCTATAGCCCGATATATGCATTAGGACCATAGTTTTGAGAATCCGTCTAATCGGTTTAATCGAAAATTGGATCATATTTCGGTCCGAGTCAGCTATTAAAATCGGAGAATAGAAAATCGGATCAGAACTGCTAAAAATTAGATATCCAGACAAAATCGGCGAAGCGGACCAACTAAAAAATACGGTTCGATTCAAAATCTAGAAAGAGATTCTTGAAATTTCTTCTTCTTCACAGCTTCTTTAGATGATAATTTCTTGACGGTCTTTTTTAATTATTGACCATGCTTTCTTTTTGTTTGATTATTAAGAGCTTAGACTTATCAAAATCAAAAGAGCTAAGGGGTTTTTTATTATGAGCTTATGGTGGATTTGGTATAATTTCTTTTTTTATATATAAGATCCATATATGTAGGGGCTAAAAGCTTAACAACAAAGTTTCAAACTTGTGAGAGGTTGAATGGCCTAACTTTCAATTTTCACCTTGGAATTTTTAAGTAGTTGTAATTTCGCTCTAAATCGACTTTTGTATCCTGAATATCCTGAACTTATCAACTAATTACAATTACATTCTAATTTGAATTAATATCTAACTCATTATTTTTGCATTTTAAAATGGGTTCAATTTTAAAATTAAATACTCAATCTTGATTTTTTTATTTATTATATAAATACTTGGCTTTGATTTTATTATTTGTTGTTTAAATACCTGAGTATGGAGTTCATTTTTTTATATTATTTAATTAAAATTTCAACATTAGTTCACCATTGGCCGTTGAGGGTTTGAGAGGTGAAGATATGGGAGTTGGATTTGATTGGATGGATGAAGAGATTAGGGATATTTGTGATTATTGCTTCCAGATCTTTCTTTCAAGTTTTTTTTTAAAAAATTTATTCTTTATTGTTGTTGGGCATCAAAATTGACATCAAATGACAAAATTATTTTGTAGAATATGTTATTACACACTTCTTTTTCATATAATTTACCTTTTTATTTTTCTCGAATTATTGTCTTATTTTTTAAATAAAATAATTTTGTTTTTCTATTACATGCCTTTTTATAATGCATCTTTTTTTATTAACCAAACATATTTTTTTAGTAAAAATTAAAATTGTAAATTTGTGATGAATAATATTATACTTTACAGTAATTAGTTATTTTTAAGATTAAATTAGTCATTTTTATTCTTTTTGTAGAAAGTTATTAGTATTTACAAATTTTATATTTTATTGTATTTAAAAAAATTATTTAAAAGTATTATATATTAAAATCCAGTTAAACCGTATTAAATCCGATTGAACCTCATAGTTCAGAGCCTCTATCAATTCTTAGAATACTGATTAGAGCAGTTCGGTTAAAATCAAATTTTATTCGATTTGTGCTCATTTTAATTAATAAAATGTCATGCCCGACTTTAATCACCAGAGGAATCGTCCGCTTTGGATCAAGCCAAATCCCCCATACAAGATTGGCAAGACCCGCACGGTTTTGTCCTGCGGGTGAAATGGGAAACTTCGCAGGAGGTCAATATCACCAGAGGAATCGTCTGCCGCTTTGGATCAAGCCAAATCCCCCCCCCTACCATAAAGGAAAAAATTTGGCAAAGAACCGCGCACGGGTTTTTGTCCTGCGGGTGAAATGGGAAACCTTTTCGCAGGAGGTCCACCCATCTTAGGATTTCCCGTTACAGCGAGCACGCTTACCCCTGAAGTCTTCCAACTTCTCCATCAAAAGGGTGCTTATAATGATTAGTTTTCCCTCCCCTTTTTCGATATATGATTTCGATTCATTCATGTGTCCCGCATTCCACTACCACTAGCTAGCCTGACATCCTAAGAAGCAGTCAGGAACTTCGCTTTACCCGCCCTCTTAGGATTCAGCTTTCCGCCCTCTTAGGATCGCTTTGCCAGGTCGGAATGTCACAGGCCCACCAGCTTCCGCATGGTTCGTCCTCGAACCATACATCTACTGGAGGAGTCCGACTCTAATACCAACTGTAACGCCCGACTCTAATCACTAGAGGAATTGTCCGCTTTGAATCAAGCCAAATCCCTCATACAAGATTGGCAAGACTCGCACGGTTTTGTCCCGCAAGTGAAATGGAAAACTTTCCAGGAGGTCACCCATCCTAGGATTTCCGTCAAGCGAGCACGCTTAACCCTGGAGTTCTTCCAACTCTCCAGCCATTCGACCAAAAGGCGCCCCTAATGATTAGTTTCCCCCTTATATGATTCGATTCATTCTTGTGTCCCGCATTCCACTACCTTAGCTAGCCTGCCATCCTAGAAGCTAGCCAAGAGCTTCACTCTACCCGCCCTCTTAGGAAGCTTCACTCTACCCGCCCTCTTAGGATCGCTTTGCCAGGTCGGGATGTCACATAAAATGTACAAATTTCATGGAATGTAACATTTGTAGAAGAGCAATCCCTTATTTCTCATAACTACCTTCAAATCATTGATTCGATATTTTCTCTAACAATAATCCCTTGTGAGACGTAACTGCTTTCAGTTCATAACACAAAAGCAATGGAGAACCAAAACCACTCTACTCGTTCTCGTTTCCTTATTCCCTCTTCTTTTCTTTTATTTTCTCAGCAAGCTAACACAACTTACAAAACCGATGTTCCCTTACGATCCCGTGGCGTTACGAACCCGAAAATGGAAAGGAAAGAAGTTAGAGGAGTTCTTTATCTTACAAAATCGGGCCCCGAATTCTGCAGCCTTTACTGAAGAACACATTCAATGTCTTCGAAACAATGTTGTGCGCTTGATCTGTAAGGTAATTGTTTCTTCCTTCATTTTAGCTTTTCCGGATGTGAAAGTTTAATTTCGATTTCTCGAGTATAGGTGGTTTAGTTTGGGCTCGTTTTTGTTCTAAGAACCTGCTTTTTGATTCCTGGAAATTTCGCTCTGTTTGGCTTCCAAGGAAGTGAAAGAAAATTTAAAGAAAAAAGTCTATACTTTTTCCCAATTTTTATGTACTTAAAAAGGATGATTTATTGATATATTCTTGCTTTCTTAGTTTAATTGGTAAATTCTTTGTTCAGGCAACACATGTTAATTGAATTTGTGCCTCTGTTTATAATGCGTTGATGTGATACAGCACTAATTGTTTTCCTGATGAGCAAATAGATAAAAATAAAGCTCCTTGAGATTAATTTCTATTGCTAAGTTTTTCTTTGAAAAGAAAATTAATCTTTTCTTTCTTCTTTTTTCCAGTGATCTTATTGGTTCAAAACTACTATTCTAGTTTTGAATTTGGAGAATATTTAATAGATTTATTTATTGGTTGAATGTGCATTTCGTTGCAGTATTCGAAGTATGAGAAATTTGAAGCCAACATCCAATTCTATGCTGTTACCTACTTTGATCATTTCATATCCAAAAATCCACCTCCGGTATCAAATTGTAAATTTGAATTTTTAGAAACTTACAATTTTATTACTTTAAACTGACCTAAGCTTGTTGGTTTAGGTTCTACATGAGCATAGTGTTCTATATCAAGCTCGTTATTTAGCAATCGCCTGCCTATCTCTTGCTTCGAAGTTGCTGGTAAACTTTACAATTTTGTGTTTTGAGTCTTGTTCTTTGAATTAGTTAATCTCTGCCTCACTCTTCTTTTACTTTGTTTATTAGACAAGAAGTGGAAGAAGACATTTCAGGAAAATTAGTGATAAAATTTTACTCGAAATGGAGTTCAAGATTTTCAATGGACTTAACTGGCAAATGCCAGCTTTAATTCCAAATTTGAGTTCCAATAGCAATCGGATCAATGTTCAAGTTCGAGGAGGTAAATCAATCAATCAATCAATCAATTTAGTTTGCCACTTTAATTCATCTAATTTGATCTCAATTAGTCTAATTAATATGATTTTTTTTTTTAATTACAGGCATCGAGTTCAGCCATTCCAAACACTTAATTTTTGGAGCAGCAGCTATTCTTTCTGCTATTAATTTTGGGTATGGTGATGATGGTGATAGACTCAAAGAAGCAGGATTTACTATAGTGGTAACTAATTAATTAACATCAAAGACAATTACTTTCATTTTGAGTTCGAATTTTAATTGAGTTGTATTTTTAGGATAAAGAGAAACTAACAAACTGCATTAATAAAATGGAAGAGGTTTTGATGGAGGCCAAAAAAGCTGCATGGAGTGTAAAGAAGCAGAAAATGGCGTCATCAAATTATATTGAACCTTCGGGTTTTAAAGCAGACTGGAAGTGTAGTGGAAATGAAGATGACGAGTTGGCAAAATTTGATCCAGCAAGTTTCATGGAGCATCCAAAGGCAGATTTTAAAATTCTAGGCTGCATTCCGCTAAGATGGTTGCCAAGATGGATGCCATGTTGGGATTACTAATACTAGCATAGATGCCAAATCGAAACTTGTCAGTGCAAAAATTGGATTTGCATGCCAAAAGCAATGGCTGTTACTAGAATTTGCTAGACATCTTTTGTTGAAAGATTAGGCAAGGCATTGAGTATTTCTTATTGAAAGGCTAAAAACACTTTGAGGGCTATTGTTCTCTCAAAGTTAACTCTTCATGCATTTGAATTTGAAATAAAGGCCAATTTACTTCCTAGACTCATAAACAAAAAATACCCGTAGGCTGAATGCATAAATTCACCCTTGTACTTTTCACAAAAAATCTTGTGGCATATTCAAGTTTTGTTTTGATTAATTGAACAATTTAACTTATAAAATTATACCTATGAAATATTTTATTCAAGCCACTAAACACTTCAATTTATAAAATTAGATCGATTAAACATTTATTGAAAAATTAGAAAATATAAATTATTATTCCAAAAATTATATTAACTACATATTGAAAATTAGAAAATATAAATTATCATTTCAAAAATTATACTAATTACATATCGAAACAATATTTTGCATAAAAGCCAAACCCTTAAAATTTATTGTTTTTTAAAGTTTTATTATAAGGAGGTGTGAAATTATTACAAAAAATGAAGTTCAAGTACCACAAGGTCGATTTTAAAAATATATCCAATCAAATCATACAACCTATTTATTTACATAAAAAATGAAGTCAAGTTACCACAAGGTCGATTTTAAAAATTTATATCCAATTCAAAATCAACAAATATAATACAATATATATATATATATATATATATAATATATATATATATATATATATATATATAATATATTCTTTCTTTTTCTTTATCTAATCTCCTAAATAAAATATTTTTAAATTATAATCAAAATGGAATCAAATATTTAATTAAATAAAATATTAAAAAATTTCAAATGTTCTTGTTATCATATATTATTTATTAAAAAATTTTCAAATGTCTTGTTATCATATATATTTATTAAAAAATAAATCTAGTAAAAATAAAAATCAAAATTTTAAAATACTTAATTATTTATAGTATTTATTTTAAGAATAACTTTTTTTATTGATTAGGAAACTTAATGGCAGAAATAACACTGCAGGCTACACAATAGAGAATAATCCTCCCTAGACTCAACAAATTGGTGAAAATATTTGTAGTTGAGAGGATTCGCTCCTTATATAAGTGAAAAAACAATCAAGCCATACATGATTGACTTAAAAAATTAATTTTATAATGTAATTTACTAATTGACTATGACGAAAGTTACTTTAAAAAATCCTAAATTTTATCGAGGGCGCTATCCCCACATTTATATATAGTATAGATAGATAGATTTTGTGGTTTTAGTTTTGATCAGAAAAGAAGAGAGTGTTGTTTACGGTTGATTAACGCATTTGAAGGAAAATGATAATGCTTGATGTGCTTATCCATAGCAAATCCAATTGCCATATTATGTGCTCAAAAGATTTCTCTCTTCTGTTTTTTTTCCTAATAGGATTAGTCTAACAGTTGATAGCAGGTATTGATACTTGATAGTTGCCTCTGGTAGCAAATGGCCGATAATTACTAGTGGTTGTTGTTAAAATGACAATGAGCATTAAAGGTGATAATTATTTAGTAGGGGCGGAGCTATACTATATCTAGTGTAGGCATGTGCCCACTCCCGTTATTTTTTATTTTATTATTTGCTTTTGTCCTCTTTCATTCTCCATTTCTTGGGATTCAAATCAAACCATCATGGTTCATGAGTAAACTTTTGTTTCTAAGGTTCAACCCATTCTTGCATCATTAAATCAACTCTCAATTCGACAACATAAAATTTTTATTTCATATAATGTATAGATTTTATAATTTTCAAAAAAAAAAATACTAAATGTATAGACTTGAACTTAAACTTGGCTCTAATATATCTTTTATCAAATGAGCTGAATAACTATATCTGAACTCAGCTCGTTATCGAATCTACAGCGGCTCACCAACGCTTAATTCATTTAACGCGTTAGATGTCAGTAACTGCATTGCAAAAATGGCAGTGATTCTGAGGGAGGCCCAAGATGTTGGACGCAGTGTAAAGGACTAGAAAATTGCGTCATCAAATACAGAATCTTTGAATTTTGAAGTAGACTGGAAATTTAGTGGAAATGAAGATGAAGAGTTGGCGAAATTTGATCAAGCATTGTTCATGGAGCCTGCAAATGCAGATTTTATTAAAATTCTAGGCTGCATTCCGCTAAAATGGTTGCCAAGATGGATGTCATGTTGGGGCTACTAGCGTTGGCTAGACATCTTCCGTTTTTGTGGTGCTGTGTTTGCCCGAAAGATTGGAGTAAGGCATTGAGTATTTCTTGTTGATTGAAAGAATAAAAATAATGCTGAGGGTCATTGTTCTCTCAATGTTAACTTTTCAAGCATTTGAATTTGAAATAAACGTCAATTTACTCCCTAGATTTTTTAAACAACTTAAGAACATCTAGATTGAAGCTTTTGGTTCATTTTCCCATTAACTCATTTTCCACCCATCACTACTCTTTTCTTTTGAATTTGTGAAATCTCTGAAAATACCAATCTATTTCTCATTGGTTAAATTTTATATCTATAAATGTCCAGTTCAGTAAATTCGTATCTTTTCTCTCTTTACATTATATCTAAGAGCTTCAATATAGGTTTTTGGTTCCTTGTTTACAAATTGAAAAGCTAAATTAGCCTTTATTTCTTTGAATTTCAAATAAGTCTATAAAAGAAAAAAAAAATCTTGAAGGAGTCCGAAATAAAATAGTTTACCAAGAAAAACACGTTGAATCTTTTTTTTCAAATTTAAAATTAATCAAAGTTCATTAACATAAAATAAAATAAATGTGCAAATAAAGATAAAAATACGTGCATTAAATATATCTTTATTTTCAAATTTCAATACAATAAATTTTAATCGTTGGATCTTAAATTAATGAATTGTAAGTTTTTGGTATTGATAAATATAATATCTAAATAATTTCAAAAAAAATATCATCACTCAATCCTGTCTATAATATTTCTTAAATTTCTTTGATAGAGGATGAAGACAAAAAGGTTAAAAACTAAAATTTTCTGCTATGGAGCTTGCTTTAACCACATGCAAAACGAATAGTGAATGAAAAACAGCCGAGTAACAATTTTTACATAGAAAACCATGATACGACATGTTTGTCTTAGGGCGGTTACCGTCCACTCCTTGGTGGTTAATCGCCTAGGCAGGACGGTCATCACTAGCCAATGCCTATTAGGCATGGCCGATTCAATGAACCGCCGGTTCGAGATGTTTAAAATTTTAAATCGGAATCGACCCTTGAACCTCCGGTTCCGGTTCCAGCACGGTTCCGGTGAACCGACGGCTCGAATTACGATTCCGATTTGATTCCGGCATTACGCAAATTTTTTAAAAAATAATAAAATTTTGATTCCAAATTCATAAATAAATAATAATTTTAAAATATTTAAATTTTATTAACAAAATTTTTTGATTCCCAAATTCATAAATAAATAATAATTTAAAATATTTAAATTTGATTAACTAAATAAATTATTATAAAATTTTAAAACAAAAAACTTATATTAACTAACTTAAGAACTATTATGACTTTAAATTACAAAATTTTACTAGTCACTAATATAGAAAATATAAAATGGAATATTAAAAATCATATTGGAAATGAGTGCGAAATTATTACTTTTCAAATACTAAGAAAAATTATTAAAAAAATTCAAATGAAGTAATTTATGAATGGAAAAAAAAATTGAGATTAGAGAAAAGAATTGGAAATTGGATGTAAGAAAATAAAAAATAAACAATAGATAATTTCAATATTAAGGAAAATAAAGCAATAGAAAAAATAATGAAATATGGAAATTTGGGAGAATTTTAATTGAGAATAAGAAAAGAGTTATCATATAATTGGTTATGAAATAAAAAATCATCAACTCATCATATTTATACATGTTTCTCATTTATTAGTTTCCCAAATTGTACCTTATAAGTTATAACAGAAAAATAACAACTATATTTTTGGATAATTTAGTAAATTACAGTAAATAAATAAATAAATGATTATAAAATGAATAAAATTTATTTACTAAAAAATAAATAAATAAAACCTATCATATCAAAAACTATTTGTTTCACTCTTTTTTTATATACTTGAAAGTATTTTTTTTTATATAAATCAACTATTCATGTACCATTTTTTGTATAAATTAAGTAAAAAAATGTGTATTTTTATAAATTAAGTAAAAAATGTGTATTTTTTTTCACCACTTTTTATTTTATAAACTTAATTGTTACCATTGTAACTTCTCATTCACCCATAAATCAAAATTAAACTAACAATCAAATCAAAGTGATATAATTTTTTTATAAAAATTTTAAGCCTACAATTTTTTTGTGCATCCTGTTCGAACCCGGATCGGAACCCGGCCGTTTCCGAGCCCTGTTCAGGTTCAGTATTTTAAGATTCATATGAACCTTAACCGGCCCTTGAACCGCCAGTTTCCGGTCAAAATTATGAACCAGCCGGTTCCGCCCTTGAACCGCCAGTTCCGGTTCAAAATTATGAACCGCCGGTTCCGGTTCGTTTACAGTACGGTTCAGTTCCGGTTAGAACCGAACCGGTGGCCATGCCTACTGCCTATTGGATTTTCTGCTCTAGTTTTTCAGTGTGTTTTGGTCCTTTTTTTATTTTGCTTTCGATTTTGCCCCTCTTGTGGACCTAATTGAATAACTTTTATGCCGAAATTCCAATTTTTCAACTATCATGCATTTTCATTTAAAAATAGAAAAGATTGGAAATAATTGCATTTTGCATTCATATACAAGGCTCCACGTGGGTCTAGTTGGGTCGGATTTATTGATTTAAAGCACATGATTCGTATGTACGGGTGAATGATTTTGTTGACCCAATCCAATCTATTAAATGCATGAACCCACGGGTTATGAACGAGTTGGGTTGGGTCCAGATTCAATGTAAACCCGCGGCTAAAATAAATAATAAATAATAAATAAATAAAATAGTTTTAAATAAAATACCACTATTTAAGAGGCATTATCAAAAAAATTAAATATAATTTAAAAACATAAGATACACAAAAAATTTTCAAACTATAAATGTATTTCAATAACAATATTAAAATTAAATTTCTTAATAATAATAATAATAATAAGCAACAACAATGAAAAATTAAATTTTCCAATAAGAAAAAAATCAGTGAAATCAAAAGTACTCAGTAACATAATTATACAATATGTTTTAAATTACAATATATTCCAATAGCAACAATTGAAAATAAGTTATACTAAAAAAAAGCAATAATTTAATATCTATATTCAAAATTTAAATCAAATCAAATTAATTTTAAGTAATTTATAATTATATATATATTTGACATTATTTATGGGTCGGGTCAAGTCTGCAGATTATCTAGTGAACCAGCGATCCATCCCAACCCATGAACTATAATTGATGGACCTCAGCATGTAAAAGATTTTCGGCATATCTCCTTTTGCAATGTAATTTATAAAATTGCGGCAAAGGTTTTGGAGAATAGGTTAAAACAGATCCTGGATAAGATAATTTCTCCGTCTCAATCTGCATTGGTCCCTAGGCGACTAATTACGGACAATATTCTAGTCGCATTTGAGCTAATTCATTTTATGAAGAGGAAAACTACCGGTAAAAAGGATATTGTCCCTCTGTTAAGATATCGCTTTTGAGCTAACTCATTTGAGCTAATTCATTATATAATTTTTAGCATATTTCACTAATTTTAGTTTTTGTGAATGTATATTTGATCTAACTCACGATTTGATAACATTGTTAAGGACTATATTTGATCTAAGGCACATGAATTCTAAGGCTCATTGTTGTAGGTCCTTGTGAGTACCGGGAAATTTATTTGCCAATTGCAATTTGTGTCTTTTAAGGGTAATGGTACTTCCTAACAAAGACACATGAGCGTAAAGTCGGACCGGACACCAAGTCGAATTTAATAAATAGGTCATGGTTAAATTGGATCAATTAGGTTCAACCGAATTTTTTATTTTTTAATTCTTTATAAGTATTTATAAAAAATTATCAAATATACTCATAGATAATTTCATAATGAAAAAGTAATAATAATAATGTAATTATGAATGTATAATCTTTTTTCCAACCATTCATCAACTAATATTAATATATATGGCAATTTATGTTATTTATTATCCAAACCAAATAGTATATATTCAACATAAAAATAGACATATCAAAATATAAGTTATAATGATTTTAAATATTTTAATAATGTTTAAATCATTCATAAACACACAAAATATAAAAATATTCGTGTGCTAATTAAATTATATTTTTATATTAATTAATTAACTAATTATTAGTTTATAAAATAATAATTTTTGGACCTTTTATTTGTTACAAAATATTGAGAACACGTGGCAATATATCACTTTGGGACCACGACGAATGAAGAATCTGACGCACAGTGCAAACCGTTATGCGTCGTCGGAAGCCCTCAGCGAGCAGGAAGAGTGAGAGCGAGGAGACAGACTACGTACATTGCCCCCTGGACCGGATATTTTCACTCATATTTTCTCATTCACAGGCACAGAATCTGTTAGGAGCAAAAATACTCTCGTCTTTGGTTCCTTTTTCCTTTCTTTTCTTATTAATCAAACAGAACAATGGAGGATCCATTGAATCAATTTACCTTGCAAATCTGTTGAACAATATATTTTCGAAGAGCTTGGATGTGTTCTCTCCCAAAGGCGGATGGCAGAGGCTCATATTCATAGTGGAAGTTCTCCAACAGCCTTCTGTTCTCTAGATGAAAATATATTGTTCAACAGATTTGTAAGGTAAATTGATTCAGTAACATACGTTGGTTTCTTAGTTCAGTTGGTGAATTCCTCTGTTTTGATGCTAAGAAAATGAAGTTTCTAGCATTAGTTGTCCTGTTGAAGACAAAGTTTGGTGATAAAAAAAAAAAAAAGTCAGAAATTAATTTCTATCTCTGTTTTTATTTGCAAAGAAAACTATGTTTCACTTTCTTGATTTTCCAGGTTAATAATATTCTTTTGTTTGTATTGCACTATATAAGAATAGTTGAATGATATAGAGACAGTTACAATGCGTTTATTTGATATATTATTAAGCGCTAAACTCTATGACAACAAAACAGCGAAAACAGGGGAAAAAAACTGTCAGGACTACATTAGGATATAATTATAATTATAATAAGTATTAATTTGGGAGCTTCATTGTGATTAATTGCAACTACAACTGAGAAGTAATTAATTAATTAGGTATTGATGTGGTGCATATCAATAGGCATATATACACTCATGTATTGGGATGTTTAGAATCAATGAATGAATATCTAAATCTCCTATTTTCTATTCTCTCTCTTCCTCGTCTCTGTTCTTTTATTTTTCTCTCCTTTTCTCGTCTTTTCTCACTTCCAAACACTACTGTTATGTTATTTTCACATGAACAGTTGGGATCCATTATCTATGATCCTAACAAAAACATATTAGAAATTAATTTTCTGTCAATCTGATTTTATTTGCAGAGAAAATTAAATTTCTCTTTTATTTAGATTTTCTAGTGATGGGTTCTACATATCTGGTCAGTGCTGGTTAGATTTACAATTATTTTACAGGCTTTAAGTGAGATGAGTTCGGATGCGTCGGATGCCCGGATCCCGTAGACTGCTTTAAATTCCTTTGACTGCTTCATAAGGAACAACGCACTTCCGGTTGGCATTCAGAATTTGACATCTCAATTTGCCTAAACTTTACAATTTTTTCCTTATCAACTGATGACTTCAACTTTGGGTTTATTTAGGTTGTAGAAGAAAATGAGAGCGTCTGTTATCAGGTTTCATATATAGCAGAGGCCTGCCTATGAAGGGCTTACTTGCTTATACGGCTGGTATCCATTTTTCAAATTTGCATTTTTTCTTTTCAAATCTATTTCCTTAAATTACTAATATATTTCACTCATTTACAGCCAACCGAAATAGAACAACCCAAAAGCGGAATCGATACAATTAAAAGTGCAACACCATATACACAGTGGACTTCAGCAAATAGGACCAGACCAACCTGTTAATGCTTTATCCTTCGTAGAACCTTTTCTGTCTAGAGCTGGAGTCCCAAGCTGGATGAAGACCCATGTGAACCAGATCCTTGTTCAAGCCCATGAAGGTGTATATATTTGTTTTAATTGGTCTAATACTATTGAATGTTAAAAACATATGTTAACAGTAATTGCAGCCTCTCTGTTTTGGGTGTTAAAAACATATGTTAACAGTAATTGCAGCCTCTCTGTTTTGGGCATCTAGCGCCACTGATACTACTGAATCTGCTTTTGTCAAGAAAACCATTTCTTCGCCCAAGATCGTCATCTTCTCCAAGTCCTATTGCCCGTGAGACTCTCATTTTCTTGTTATTTGTCCAATTATTATTCAATCCTTTTAATCTTTGATTTACAAATCCTATTAAAATGAACTTTATGTGTAATTAGTGATTCATAATCCATATTTCGTATATAATTTGGTTTTATAATTCATCTTAAAGTTGCAATTAATCCATTATTTTCTGATGTTGAATCTATAAATGGCTTCTGTATCAGCGAAGAAAGTTCATTTTGGCATTAGAACTTCAAAGTAAATCTATGTGTATTCTGGAACTTATCAAAATCTTTTCCTTTGTTATATAGATGACGGGCAGAACATTCAGGATGCCTCGAGTAAAGTTGTTGGAAGGCGTACAGTTCCTCAGGTTTTCGTTGATGGAAAGCATATTGGTGGCTCTGATGGTAAGATTACTCCTTGCAGAAACAATGCAATCATTTGTGTTATCTATTGAGAGCAAAATTTGTACTATAAAAAAAGAAAAAAAAAATTAACCAGAGAATGCATCTTATTTTTTACTTAAACTTATATTTAATTATTTTTACTTTTATATTGAACATATAATATCTATGTTGCACAAAAACGTGAAACGCGGAAATGGACGGACACGGGGTACTGTATTTTTTAAAATATAAGAAACGGAAAGAAATGCATAAATATGAAAAATATAGGGTTATATTTATAAATATAAAATATATATTATTATAAATCATCAAATATATTCAACAACAAGTTAAGTCCAATCAATATTTAATCATATCCAAAAAAAATTACAAGTTCCATATTCATAAAAAATATATGTTTTATGAATTTGTATTTATTTGTGCATTTATTTTAATTGGAGAAATGAGTTTTTGAGAGTTTTCAGTATTCGGAAACTTATTTAGAGAGGGAAAACGTATTTCCAAATTACTCAAACCCTATTTGTTAGGGTTATTTGTTTTAGTTTTTTATTTATTAAAAACATAAAGCTGTTTTCAGTTTTTGACTACTTATTTCTCAAAACTGTTTTTTTTTTCCTAAAATTATTTTTTCCTTTCTTTTTGTTCATGATGTGAAAAATTCTTCCAATTATCAAATCTCTCCCTTATTAAGCTATTAAAGTCTTCCAATTAGTCAAATCTCTCCCTTATTAAGCTATTAAAGATTTTAGTTAAAATAAAAGAATATAAAAATATAAATCTAAGACAAAATAATTAAAAAATATTTCAACACTTATAATTTTTAAATTAAAAGTTGATTATTTATGTATACAATTAAGTTGAATAAAAATATAATATTCAAGTGATATAGATAAATAAATAATACTAAATGACATTAAGATTTATATGGATAGAAAAAATAATAATAAATGAATAAAAATAATACTAGAATAGAGAAAGAATGGGAAAGAAAAGTTAGAATTTAATAGAGGATTAATAATAATAGGTACTACAACTTATTGAGGACAAAGTCCGATTAAAAAAAGAAAAAAGAAAGAATAGAAAAGTAAAATAAAATCCAGAAAAGAACCAATACAGGAAAATCATTATTTGGTTTACTAAATGACATTAGATTTATATGGATAGAAAAAATAATAATAAATATAAAAATAATACTAAATAGAGAAGAGAATGGAAAAAAAGGTAGAATTTTAATAGAGATAATAATAATAGTACTACAACTTTATGAGGACAAGTCCGATTAAAAAGAAAAAAGAAAAATAGAAATGTAAAATAAAATCAGAAAGAACAATTACAGAAATCATTATTTGTGGTTTCATAAAATTTATTTTTTATTTTAAAAAATAATTTTCTAAAAAGTAAAAAAAAATAAACATCACCTCAATTCTTGTTGAGTTAATGTTGAATTCATAATTATCTATAAAATAAACTTAATTTTGTGTTCACTTAAAGATTTTGATGAAACGATAAATTTCATAAAAATTAATACACGATTGAGGCTCTCTGAAATTCTCATCATTTTGACATATAATGGCATTTCTGGGTTTGTTTGATTTTGACAGCCACCACACAGTGGCCGTGTCAATTCGACAGTAGTGGCAATAATTTAATTTGACCGGAGAAACAATCTATCTCACTTCTCTCCTTGAAAAAAATAATCAAATATATTAAAGGCATTATGGACATTTCTGTTTCACTGTGCATCCTGTGCCGTTTAGCACTGCCTGTTAAACAAATGGGTTTATGAAACGGCATGAAATAACGTAGCTATTTTATATATGACATGACGGCTAGAATCCAATTGCTATCCTTAACTTTAGTTTTGGTTGACATTCTACATATGTAATCAATGTATATTCTCCTAACTTACGATATATAAATTATATAAAGAGCAAAAGAATAGAACTGTGCTATTCTCCTCTCTTATCCCATTGCACAAACCAAACGATCATTGGTTTGCTGGAAATGAAAGTATCATATTGATTCTGTAATTAATATATTTATTTTTTATGATAAGCATTGAATTGAAAATGCTTTGCATTCCAAATAGTTCGGAAATTAAAATATACTTTTTTTTCCCAAAAATTTCACCCTCAAAATTTTGAAAAAATTTTAATTTTTTCTCTCAGATCAAACCAAATAATAGTCGGTTGAGCACACGTGGCAATCCCCTATGACCAGTAACTACCTTGAAATCATAGATTTGATATTCTCTCTAACAACAATCCCTATCTCTTGTGAGTTTGTAACTATTTTCAGTTCATGACACAGAAGCAGTGGAAAAGCAAAATCACTCTCCTCGTTCTTTTTTCATTTATTTTCTCAGCAAACTAACCCAAACTTACAAATTCGATGTCCCCTTACGATCCCTTGGTGTTGCTAAACCGAAAATGGAAAGGAAACAAGTTAGAGGAGTACTTTCACTCCATAGCTGTAAATCCAAAATTGAATTCCAAAGTCAACCAGATCATTGTTCAAGTCCAAACAGGTAAATCAATTAACTAATTTAGTTTCTTCTTTTCATTCATCTAATTTGGTCTCAATTAGTCTAATTAATATGATTTTTCTTTGTAATTACAGATATGAATCACGATCAATCCGAAGACGGACTTTTGGCAGCAGCAGCTCTTCTTTCTGCTATTGATTATGGGTATGGTGATGATTGTGAGAGACTCAAAGAAGCTGGATTTGCTGTAGTGGTAACTAATTAATTAACATCAAAGACAATTATTTTTATTTTAATTAAATATTAAATGATCAGTAATTTGAGTTTGAATTTCAATTGAATTGTGTTTTCAGGATAAAGAGAAACTAACAAGCTGCATTGCAAAAATGGCAGTGATTCTGAGGGAGGCCCGAGATGTTGGACGCAGTGTAAAGGAACAGAAACTTGCGTCATCAAATACAGAATCTTTGGATTTTGAAGTGGACTGGAAATTTAGTGGAAAAGAAGATGAAGAGTTGGCGAAATTTGATCAAGCATTGTTCATGGAGCCTGCAAATGCAGATTTTATTAAAATTCTAGGCTGCATTCCGCTAAAATGGTTGCCAAGATGGATGTCATGTTGGGGTTACTAGCATTGGCTAGACATCTTCTGTTTTTGTGGTGCAGCGTTTGCCCGAAAGATTAGAGTAAGGCATTGAGTATTTCTTGTTGAAAGAATAAAAATAATGCTGAGGGTCGTTGTTCTCATAATGTTAACTCTTCAAACATTTGAATTTGAAATAAAGGTCAATTTTCTCCCTTAGATTTTGTAAACAAATTAAGAATATCCAGATTTAAGCTTTTGGTTCATTTTCCCATTAGCTTTTGGATCCTCTGCTCTAGTTTTCCCGTGTCTTTTGGTCCTTTTTTATTTTGCTTTCAATTTTGCCCCTCTTGTGGACCTAATTGAATAACTTTTATGCCGAAATTCCAAATTTTTAACTATCATGTATTTTCATTTAAAAATAGCAAAAGATTGGAAATAATTCATTATGCATTCGTATATAAGGCTGCAGGTGGGTCGGTTAGGTTGGATTTATTGATTTAAAGCACCTGATCAGTATGTGTGGGTCAATAATTTTTTTGATCCAATTCAATTCATTAAATGCATGAATCCATGGGTAATAAACGGATTGGATTGAGTACGGATTCAATGTAAACCCACGAATGAAATAAATAATAAATAATAAATAATAAATAAATACAATACAACTATTTAAGAGGAATTATCAAAAACATTAAATATACTTAGAAACATAATCATCCACTAAATTTTCAAAATATAAATATATTTCAATAACAATATTAAAATTAAATTTCTTAATAATAATAATAATAATAATAATAACATAATTTTACGAATTTATGAGTTAACTCACGATTGGATAACGTTGTTAAGGACTAGATTTGATCTAAGGCACATGAATTCTAAGGCTTATTGTTGTAGGTCCACGTGAGTCCTGGGAAATTTATTTGCCAATAGCAATTTGTGTCTTTTAAGGTTAATGGTACTTCCTAACAAAGACACCTGAAAAACAGCCAGTTTAAAACCAGATCGGACATCAAGTCGAGTTTCATAAATAAGTCATGATTAAACCGATCCATTCGGTTTAACCAGATTTTTTACTTTTTTTTTATTCTTTATAATTATTTATAAAAAATTATCAAAATATACTCATAAATAATTTCAAAATGAAAAAGTAATAATACTGTAATTATAAATGTATGATCTTTTTTTTGAAACCATTCATCAACTAATATTAATATATATGACAATTTATTTTATTTATGATCCAAACCAAATAGCATATATCAACATAATAATAGACATATCAAAATATAAGTTATTTTAATAATGTTTAAATCATCCATACACACACAAAATATAAAAATATTTGTGTGCTAATTAAATTATATTTTTATATTTTATTAAATAGATAATTAATTAATTATGTAAATACTTTAAGAAAAACAAGTCAGTGGATTCCAAAATTTGAACCATGACTTTTTAAGAAAGATCATGTATGCTTAAACCATTTGATCCATTTAACTTATAATGCAACACATAATTACTTTTTTTTTTTTTTTTCATTTAAAATTAAGGTTGTCCGACTGCATAAAAAAATGGATCACATTGGGATTAAATTAAAAATCGATTTGCAAGTTCACGGTTTGACCGACCGGTCCAGCCTGATGTCCGATTTCCAAAACAGTTGAAAACATGAAATAGCACAAGATGTAACAAAATTTTTTTTTACCGACTAACAGTTTGGAAATATACTTGAGCAAAACAACTGAAATAAATAAATGCGCGTTTATAACTTCTAAAATCTAATGATTATAAGATTTGGATATACAGGTATACACTTTAGCAAATGAAATCTAAAAATATATGATAGATTTCAAATATACTCCACAATTTGAAATCTTGGATTCCAATTTTCAAATCAAACACAACAATATATAATTTAAAAGTGCAAATGAAATTATTAATTTAACTCAAAAAGTTGATTTATGGAATTCCTCATCTTTTCATTTATCTTACTAAAAAAGGAGAAAACAAAAGTGAAAATAGGCGGCGAGAGACATAAAATGGTGATAATCCTTTTGCTGCTATTTTATTAACGAAGCCAGTTCAAATAATCAAGCATTCAATTCTTACAATACATGGGCGTAATAACCCAATAAATATTCCTCTGAAGAGAAAAAGAACAAATGTAAACCTGTACACCAAAGGATTTTTCTGTACTACATTGACGTTCTATCTGGATAATTCAATCCAATAATCCTCAACTTCATTCTAACAGTTATGATTGGCTTTTCTGTCATCCTCATAATTTTTCTGGCAATATAACTACACGAGGTATATGATCATGACGATCACTTGATTCAGATCCTATTTTATGAATTAGCCAAAACATGGATCAGCAGCTTTCCTTAGCCATACTTATGCAACTAGCAAAATTAATAACAACGTAAGACACCGATGTAGTTCTTTTTTCTGAATGATGAAATAACTTAGGCTACTACATATAACTATTCTTTTTGACTCTAATAGTTGGAATCGTCCATTTCGATATCTGAGGCTTGAACCGCCAATTGTCTATACTAGTATCAAGTCATTGCTTAATTATACGAAGCTCCCAGTTACCCTCACCATCAATAAACCGCAATTCCAGGGAATGGAACGGTATTAAAGCAGGACGCTGAGATATAAAAAGCAAAATAAACATCAGTGAGTCAAAAGCAGTAAATAACAAAACTTCGCAAAAAATTATCTCGAGAAACTTATGAAGATCGAATTAGATAGTAATAAAAAAATACCAGGCTTCATTTGGTTTATGGAATAGTAAGGAATAAGATTAGAAGAAAATAAATATTTCAAACGTCATTAAAAATAGCATGAAATAAGAAATACTAAAGTTAAACACTTGGGCCTGATTTGGTTTATGAAACAGCATGAAAGGAGAGAATAACATAGCTATTTTATATATGATATCAAGAATTGAACTGCTAAAACTTCAGTTTGGATTTAATAGTAGTTTTACAACCTAAGTTTTGGTTGACATTCTACATATGTAATAACTTTATCATATGTAATCAACATTCTCCTAACTTACGATATATAAATTTTATAAAGAGCAAAAAATAGTAATTACATTCTCTATGTACTAGTTATTCTATTCTCCTCTCTTATTCCATCGCACAAACCAAACAATCATTGGTTTGCTGGAAATGAGAGTATCATACTGATTCTGTAATTAATATATTTATGATAAGCATTGAATTGAAAAATGCTTTGCATTCTTTCAGATCAAATCAAACAGGATGTTCTAAGCATATGACCATATGCAAGCAGTAAACTGAGTGGAGCAGCATGTACAGCATGATATTTCATTTTCCATTACAATCATCTTGTCACTCACCTGCGATGACGTAACAACTGTGATGCTCATATCATTAGCAAGCCTATAAAGTTGTTCCTCAACATCAACACTTGTGGCACTGACCAAAAAAATAAATAAATAAATAAAAGAATAATCATGATACCGTTATTTCTCTGTCAATAATCAGTAGATACTAAAAAGTGGATGTTCCATAACATACTTGGTACACTCATCGAGAATGCCAAATTTAGGCTTGTGAAAGAATAGGCGTGCCTTGTAAAAAGAAAGCACCAGGTCAAAAAGTTGAGGAATCCAAATGAATAAGAAAAAATTTTTTTCAAACCATTTAAATTTGAAGTTGGCATAGATAAGCTTCACTCACCATGCCCAATCTCTGCTGTTCTCCAAGAGAGAGAGTATCCTCCCAATTTAGATTAGCATCCCAACCACCTTCCTCCCTTTCCAAAAGATAATTTAGCCTAACATTCTCCAGAATAGTTTTTAAACGTGTATCCAAAATCTCTGTGGTGTCAACAGATGTATTATCTGAAATTCAATACAATCAGAAATTCAATACAATCAGAAATTCAATACAATCAGAAACTCAAAGGGACAGTAGACTAAAGAAGCTACGTCTCAGAAACTAAAGCACCGATGGAAATGATCAAAGGCATGCAAATATAATCTTATTTGATGAATATAAATTTAACTCATAAATACTTGCACCACTGTTACTCTGGTTACTGCAGCTAAAGAAAGAAGTTGACATCTTTAAAGGAAGGAAATGTTGAAAAAACAATCAAAAAATTTGGCATCTAAAGCAGTGTCTAAAATTTCCCTTGATGAATCCTGATTTTGTGCCGAAATAAGGAAGCCTATGACTCCTGTACTATGGGCGAATCGTAGGAATCCACAACTGAGAGTAATAGGTAATGAGAGAAAGCAACATCAGCAAACAATTACAAGGTTCTTCAGATAACTTGGTGCAAGGACAAGTTAACGTTTTTGTTTTACACATTTAAGTCAGGGTAGTCTCAAATATATCAAATAACAACCAGCATGGAACTGATAGTAGTGATATCAGCATTTGTGTAAACATAAAATGTTATGGTTGACTAAACGATGGACTAGGAAACAACTAAATTAGAGAAACAGAGGAGAAGAAAGAGAATAAAGCTGATAAAAGAACTACTTATACCATAAATATTGTTTTACCAATTTTTTTAAACTTACATACAATTTGCTTCTTTCACATATATATTTTTGTCTGGCATGTGTGTTGTCACAAATGCAATAGTATAACTTCATTTGTTCATTAATCAACATGTTACTTAGCAGTAATGTAAAAACATGCAATGCCTTGCAGGATGCATCTGATTTGTCTTTGAGATGGAATTAAAAATAAAAAATAATAATAAAAAAAAAAAAGATGCATCCATTTAGACTCTTATAGAAACATCAGAAGCATTTTTAAGTTTGTGCATTATCTGCAAGTACTTTACCTTCGCCACATAACTTTAATGTCATACTTGCTGCTTCATCACAAGAAAGAGGATATATAATTTGATCTCTCAAGGTTCCTAAGCAAGTGTATGGTCGTTGAGGAACGTAGAAGATGCCACAACCATATTCTGTATCTTCACTAATATGTTGAGGTGGTTTGGCAAGTCTGCCACTCACAATGGGCCAGAGACCTCTAAGGACTCTGAAAACAGAACTTTTCCCGCTTCCATTTGGACCTTAATCATTTTATATCATGTCAAGTTCAAGTTTGGATATTATATATGAGACCTCTAAAGACTCTGAAACAGAACTTTTCCCGCTTCCATTTTGAACCTGTAATCATGTTATATCATGTCAGTTCAAGTTTGGAATTATATTTATATATATATAAGATATATATATAATATATACATGTAACACAGCATAACAACATAGAGAAAGAAACTAATTCACCAACCTGTGACAAGCAGGCTTTTTCCTTGTTCTATGTCACATGTCAACTGCCTCGCCAACAATTTTTGTGATGGGGTAATGATATCAACCTCCACAAAGGAAATGACATCTTTCACATTGATATCGCTCTCCGTAGATGAAGATAGTTTATCAGTCAACCAATCCCCTGGTAGACCAACAAATATATTAGCCCAGATGCGTAGCTTCCATGTAATCAAATAAAAACCAAGGAAAGGTAATCGATCATTTTGAGCCAGCCTATATAATTATTATGCAGATTATTGATGATTAGATGGTTTAACAAAGAACTGTGAAATCTGAAGAATAATTCCCAATATATTTTAGAAAAAGTTTGGCATCTTTAAGTTTAACTGGAAGAATTAAATCTATAATTAATAAACATTACCTCAATACATGACAAAAAAATACAGGTTTTTTCTATCCTATAAACACCAGTTTCGTGCTTCTCTATGGCATCTGGAAGGCAAAGTCAAGTTGCCTTGAGAGATTTAGGTTGTTTTTACCAGTGAGGCGTTGTTATTTACATTTCATTTTTCCTCACCAAACAAAAGGGTACCTACTGAAAATAGGAAATAAGCTCTCTATTAGCAACATTAGTGGAATAAGTTATTAGGAGGTAGCTTTAGGAGTTGAGGCTCTCCTAGATTATCCCATGTTACTGGGCTGTTTTCTTAACTTCAATTCTTTCTTCCTGCACTTTGTCGGCGACATACAGAGCCCTAAATTCAGTTTGCTCATGCAACAACATCAAAAGAAACTCTCATCTCCTTCCTAACCCAACCACACCCCCCCCCTTACCTAACCCCAACCAGCACCCCCCCCCCCCCCCCAAAAAAAAAAAAAAAAATAATAATAATAATAATAAAAAATAATAATAATAATAATAAAAAAAAAATAAACCACAAAAAGAATAAAAAAGCCCAGGAAATTGAGATTCAAGAATAATTTTAAGAAAGTTATTATCATTGTGGTATAACGGAAGTGATCAAGAGAATGAAGAAACAGATACCAGACTGTGCAGCATCTAGAAGCTCTTCAAGTTCGAAAATCCTATTTATACTTCCAGAGAGCTCAAGGAACTTCTTGTGCAATTCAAGAATGTCACCGAAGGCTAAGAAGCTCTGAGAGACAACAGATGCTAAGAACCGTAGTGCATGCGCCAGCTCACCTGAAAAAAAATATTTAATGAAGATCTAAGGGGATAGGAAGCGATGAAGCTGCAATTCAAGTTTACTACCATTTTAATGTTACCTTGAGTTGAGATAGAAGCTCGGTCTCCCTTGTGTTCCATAGCATACAACAAGCTCAAACCCCAAGTAACATTGTGTGGAAGTTGCTTGGTAATGAAATCATCCAGGATACCATATAACCATTTCTTCTTTAAAAGTAGTAGAGAATGGTTCAGAAGCTCCCTGAATCTTGATTCAATCATCTGTTCAATACATGAAAGTTACAGGTTAAGGATAAGAAAATATTAAAGAAGAAGTGCATATTATCACTAATGAATTCAGTAAAGACTGCAAAATATTTCTAGAAGCACATTGATAAACAAATGGTCACACACAATGGACCATTATTGATATTTGCTGTTATACATTCTCTAACCAAAAGTCAACCATCTCGTGTTTTCTCAAGATCTAAAATATACAGTATACATAATGCCAAAGATCACTGACTTGTATCTAACCAAAAACCATAAATATTTCCAAACTTTGAGCAATGCTGCACAAGAAAGAGCACCAAAATACATTGTCATATAAAATTAAGTACAATGGTGAAACGCAATAAGCTTACAGCTTTTTCACGTGCACCACCTCCGAAGAAAGCAACTGACTCAGCATGTGTGCGCAGTCTTTCATGCATGAACCTAATTTGTGCATAAAAAGGTAGAATCAACTTATACAGCAACAACACCAAAGGTTGCGATAATAATCATACATATTAAAACATACATCTTTTCCTGTCTGGCTGTCTCATTGACAAGTAATTAATATACATCAACTCCAAATATACAGGCATACACTAGATTTAGTACCTAAATGTTCCTTCAAGTTGTTGCTGTCGACTTGCAAGATCACCAAAGTCAGGAGTCACTGTTCTCAAAAAACCCAGACCGAGCAACATATAAGCATACAATATAGCAACTCCCCTCTGACCTGTTAAGAGCTTCATCCTCCAGGTGAACCTTAAAAATTGAGAGGTAGAAATCATTATACACAAGAAGGGTGAAAGAGAACTCATCAAAATGTTAAATCAGCTTTCTGAAACAACAATTTAATTGAAAAATAATTAACTAAAGTAATGGGTAATTACCACAAGATGTCAACTGATGGCTTTACCATTCCAGTTACAAGTCCAGATAGGTCTGTTGTCAGCTTTTCAAGATCATGAGTTATTCTCTGATCTGCATCAATATTATTACTTGACATATGGAAGACCTACAGGACATATTTTGTCATTAAATTTTGGATATTACTAGCTGATGGCAAGAATGCAGTGAAAGAATATGTACGTGTATAACCATATAATGCTAGAAAATCCAAAACCAGTCTTCAAAATAAAATTGTCTAAACTTAAAATAATAATAATAATAGATAAAGAGCATACATAAGGACTTTTCTACTTATAGTAAGTGCCAACTAAGAATATCAAACTGTTAATCAATTAAACAATGTGTAATACGCATATAACCATTTCAAACTCTGACATTCAATAGATATATAAAGAATCGGATTGAATACTCGAAACCTTATTACCTTGTAAAATGCATTGTTTCTCAAGTAGGTCTTTAGTAAATGCTGAGTCAAGCGGATTCTCCATCCAAGAGCCAATCTGGCAGTCAAGTGCCTGTGAAAGAAGAAAGAATTTACCGAGACAGATATAGGTTACAAACTGCACAAAAAGTTCAACATAAGTGATGAGAAGAAATACACAAACAAAGAGTCCAAAAACAAAATTTAAGGCCAAAAGTTGGAAGAAGACCATCTGGAAGGGTGCAATTAACCTCAATGTGCCATAAGAATACCAAGCCTTAAAGAAAAAAGTAAACATAGGAAAAGAAAAAAAAAAAGGAAAGAAAGAGGATAATTTTCGGCTAATCACAATTGCTTAATGCCATAATATTAATGTTAAGGACTAGTTGTAAATAGAGTTCTATTAGGAGTTAGATTCCTAATAGGTTTATAGTATCCTGTATATGTATATATATGTGACCCTATAGGACTAGTTTGTAAATAGATTCTATTAGGAGTTAGATTCCTAATTAGATTCCTAATAGGTTTATAGTATCCTGTATATGTATATATATGTGACCCTATTGATGAAAAAAAGAACAACAATTTTTTCCACATTCTTCTACATGGTATCAGAGCCCCTGGGCTCGTTATTTTTTTTTTCTCTCTGTTCTTTTTTTTTGGCATTGAAACTACAGGCAGAGAGTAGTTTTTGGTGACTGCCAGTCTAGGTCACCCACATAGGCTGGTGTTTTTGTCTCACCGCCACCCAAGGAAGAAGGACAGGCCGCCGATCGGCTCTCCCTCCAAATCCGGTCGCCGGAATCCGCGCAAGTGGGCCTCACGCGCCACTCCAATTTTTCTGCCCTTCTTCACACGCCAGCGCGTGAGGGCGCGTCCGGCCATCTCCGGTCACCGGCTCTCAGTTTCCGGCGTCGATTCTGCCAGTACAGTGCAACCCAGTGTGTTGCGTCGGCTCTCTTTGACTTTTGTAGTGTTTTTTGTGTTGCACCTTTGCTGTCGCCTTGCTGGGTACATTCTGAATTTGTGAATTTTTATTGTGCTGCTGCCTCTTTGCTATTCTGCTATCAAGTTACCAAGAATCGTAGTTTTCCTTTGCTGTGCTACATTTATTTTGAGCGTTTCATCCCAATCATGACGACTACTCCACCGGAAACTTCCGAATCGAAATCTGTTATCACTGATGTGGTGCCATTACTGAATAAAATAACGGAACACAAACTTACTGGCTCTAATTTTCTGGCATGGAGTAAAACAATTCAGTATATTTCGTTAGTTTGGATAAGGAGACCACTTGACCAATGATCCACCTGAAGACTCTAGGCAAATCTGCTTAGAGAGGGATGCTCGATATTTTTAGCAGCTGCGGAATCGAATGACAGTGAGGTAATTGGTTTAATTAATCATTGTGAGTTGTGTTAAGAACTGATGATTATCTTGAATTTTGCTACTCAGCAAAAGTAATCTATCCCATAGATGGTCTGCAAAAGGATTTTATGCGGGGCCAACCCAGCATAGAAAGTCCCTCACCAGCGCTTATTTCATGAGAATTTAAGAAGATTTACGAGGAAACTTAATGTTTTATGCCATTTCAGCGCCTGATATTCAAGTCAACAGACTCAGCGAGAACAAATGGCTGTTTAATGAGTTTTCTTGCAGGTCTTGCTCCGACTTTTGAAATGCCAAATCACAGGTTCTTTCAGCATGACCGTTACGTCTTCTTCAACAGACGTTTGCTAGATTGACTAGCGTACTGAGGTTCTCATATCCCCTTCCCCTTATATAATAGTGCCCTTGTGGGAGTCGTAATCAAATAGTAGACAGCCAGGAAAACAGAGGAAGAGAGGACATGAACACGTAATAATGACCAATTAATCAGGAGGCAAGGCCATTCTTATGCTTCCGGAATGTCCATTGAACGCTGGTCACACTAAACGATTGTAAAGAAACGGCTAAATAAGCCCCCAAGGCAAATAGTTGGCCACGTCGAAGATTCTGCATTTACTTTCTTCGTGAGAAACCACTGTGTGTAAGCAATTTCTGCTGCGGAGTATGCTGAGCTCTCTAGATAACCGTTCTTCTTAAGTCTACTGATTCCTCAATTGCTCTGGCTGCCAACTTCAGTACTCCTACACATGTCTTATGTCTAACCTCATCAGAGTGGGTTGATCTGGTTGCACAGATCATATGACAGGTAAAACCCTAGTCTCTTATCTTGTAGTTAAAAGAACGCTGAACAATTTAATCGTCCATGTTAACTTCTAGTGATGGGTCCCACATTTCTGTTAAGTGTATTGCAACCGCCATCCCATCCCATCTCTTCCGTTTGTCTTCTGGTTTTTTTGTTGCCTCGTTGTTCGTTCATCTATTATTGGTTAAGCAAAATTTGACTCGTCTACTGATATTGTTGCTGTGTTGAAGATTTATCCTACCTCTTGTGTGTGTTTCAGGATCGTTTGAGCGAAGCGGATATTAGCAGAGGACGTGAGGTCTGTGCCTTTATCTTCTGGAATTGAAACAAGTTTCATCACTCTGGCTTGTGTTAGTGCTCTGCTTCTCCTTGAGGTCCATTTGTCGTTTGGTCATCCTTCATTGACACTTTAAGAGGAAGTTGTGTCCGCAGTTTCAGTCTTTATCGATTTTTAGAATGTGAATCTTGTCAATTTGCCAAAACATCAGTCGTGGTTACCTTTAGTTCCTCAAGTCAAATAAACGGGCTTCATCCCCTTTTGAGTTAGTTCATTCTGATGTTGGGTCCATGTCTTTGTATTTCTTAAAACAGGCTTTCGGATATTTCGTAACTTTTGTGGATGGATTATTCTTTGTTACTTGTTATTTTAATGAAAAATCATTCTGAGATATTTTCTCTATTTTTCGTTCCTTTGCTTAGATTAAAAATCAATTAATACCTGCTGTTCGCAGCATTGCAAGTTGATAATGCTAAAATATCTACTAGTTTCTTCCAACTTATATGTCAGCAAGAATGGTATTCTTCATCAAACATCTTGTGTGGATACTCCTTGGCTCAAGAATGGGGTTGCAGAAAGAAAAAATCGGACAATTCTTCTTGAGGTTGCTAGGGCACTCCTATTTTCAGAATGAAGGTCCCTAAACATTTTGGGCGGATTGCTTAATCTCTACTTGCATGTTTTTTGATTTAATCGCAATTGCCTTCTTCTTTTGCTTAAAATGGTGTGCAATTTTTTCCTGTTAATAGGGTTGTTTTTGTCTTGTTTTTGTTTTTTTTTTTCCCTTTGTTTTGTCTTTTTGAAAAAAAAAAACCCCCCGCTTTTTTTTTTTTATTCCCCTAAGGTTTTTGGGGAAAAAAAAACCCTCGTGAAACTTTTTTGGGGTTTTGAGTCTCTCCTGCTGTGT